CTTAGCCACCTTGGCCGCTCACTTTGACTCCTGTCCACTGGACACCATGACCAACCTGGATCTCCCAGACTGATTCTCTGTGCTGCCATTGATTTTAAAGCCCACCCAGAGAACTCAAATTCCCAGCTCACCCATGTCTCTAATCTTGCAGGGCTTATTCTCAGCTTCCATTTTCTGCTCCAGGAAGCAGCCATGAACACACACCAGAGGTATATTCCTCTCCCTCACATCTGCCAACAACCATGCTACAGCCAGGATCCCCTGAAGCTGGACAGAAGGAAGCTCAGGCCAAGGAGGAGGAAGAATTTTCCCCTAAAAGAATCAGATCTACCTTTGATAACCCTTCCTACAGATTCCAGAATCCCTGAGGCAACCTAGAGATAAACAGGATAACCATTCCTCCCATCCAACCCTTGCTTTTGAGGGCCATTATGTGGAGTCACAGACAGAAGCCAGGTCTTTGGTGGCTTCTGGCTGGAGATTCCACTTCTTGCTAAGCCTTCAAATCTCTGGGAAACCTAGGGACTTGGGTCTCTAATTTTCTCTGCAGCAGCCTCTGGCTGGCTTCTAGGCTCTGAGCCTATCATGCCTCCACCACTTGTGCTTGGCTTGCTACTTGCCTTTGGGGCGTCACCCAACATGCTGTGTCCTCATGTACCTGTGTGTGCAATCTTGCCACCACTGCACTTTGCTCAGATGAGCACAATAATGCCATTGAAGTCTTTGTCCCCGATCCAGTGAGATCAGGATTCACCTTATATGCAGTGGCCTATAAAAAGACTTGCTGGAAAGAAGGAAGAGATGGCACTGAGCACCTCTTCCTGACAACTTGGAAGAGGACATATTGTCAAATAAATAGAGATCAATTGTAGAATATAATTCAGTATTCTTATAAGTGCCCCCCATGTCAACACACACACACACACACACACACACACACACACACACACATTCTGAAATTAACCTCTTCTCCACATTGAGGAAAGTTAAGGCACAAAGTTGAAGACACAGTGTGGGGGAAATAGAAGGATTAACCAATGAGGCCTGAGTTTCAAGACTGGGTTGGGACTCTACTCTTGCAGATCTGGGTAACTCAATCTCTCTCAGATTCAGGTTTGCCATCTGGAAAATGGATAGATATATACCAGCTCCTCAGAGCTGCTATGGAAATGGGAGAAGGGGCATGGGCCCTGACCCAGTGTCTTTCCCAGAGCACAGGCTCAGAGGAATCAGCAGTTACTAGATCACTAAGCAGAGGCTGTTGGTACTAGAACATAGGCCAGCAATTTTGGTTGCACTTTCAGCTTGCAGAATGATGACCAAGTTTAGTTATGTACTTTAGTTAACTTGTAGCTTTCTACCCTCTTTGACCTTGACCCTCTCTTGTTCCAGACTGTCCTCCCTTCCCTGTTTCTCTCTTCTGCGTCCCTCCCATCCATATGATGCTATTGCCTCAGGACACTGTGACCTGTTTACTAGACCAGAGTACTTACTCATCTGTTACGTGCTTACTGAATGAAAAACGGAATGGAATGATCCATTTGGAGAGAACATCATACTGAGTAGGGGAGGGCGTCTCTCTCCTGCAGATTCAAGCAACTTGACAGGCTTAGATTAGGCCAAAATAAAAAACAGGAAGACTTATGTGGGAGATGCTGTCCACAGATTTTTTTTCCATCCTTGAGATCTTGCTCTATAGGGCCAGTGGCACAAGGGGTCCTGAACCAAGAAAGAAGGAAAGAAATGTGCACACATTTGGAGTTCTGGGAAAACTTGAAAATCAGTTATTCATTCATGACATTGCTGATGAGGGCAGAGCTGTAGGTTCTGTTGGCCTCAGAGTGCATTGAGGCCCTTGATGGCTCCCAAGAAACCTAAGGAGGTCGTTTCTGTATGTGGTCCTGCCAGGGGTGGCGGGGGAGGCAATTAAGGTCCTCAGAAGGCCTGTGAACCACAAGAATACAGAACAAGAGTGAGAAAGAAGCAGGAGCAGACTCCGCCTTCAGTCTCCAAGCCCCGCCCACCATGCCAGGCAGGACCAAATGTCTATGAGTGATGATGAGGAACTGAGTTCAAGGCTAAAGCAGAGATGGAGACGTAGAACCCACACACACTGTGAGATTCTCCAGCTCTAGGAATCACTGGCTCTTCCGCCCCTAGCCAAATCCTCCCTCTCTCCATGCTCAAGTGCTGCTCCTCCGTTAAAGATCAGAGCAGCTAGTGTCAATAAGAGGCGCTGTGAACTCACCTGCTCACAGCACTTTCCAAAACTTTCTGTGTCTTACCTCCCTTCCGTCTGCAGGGTAAGGTGGTGAGGTGGTGTTAATTAGGGGAGAAAGGAGAACAGAACATTCCAGAAAGAAGGCACAGCACATCCAGGAGCTTCAGGAAGCACAAGGCAAGGATGCGAGAGGCCAGTGAGCTAGAACATGGGAGCCAGACAGGGTGGGGTGAAGAGAGCAGGGCCAGACCTTGCTGGCTATGGCAGCCCAGAGATGGGGCCCTCCAGGGACACAGGAGGGCTCTGGTAACTGCTCCTACCTTGTGCCTTTCTATACGTTGTTCTTCTCACACTCTTCTGTGAAGGTTCTTCTCCCTTTAAAAAAAATTTCTTAAAGACAGATCTAGTTTTACTTCTTGAAGGTCTGTCTGGGGCTTAGCACAGAATCAGGTATATCCGGGTACTCAAGAAATAATTGTTAGGGGCTGGGAAGGTGGCTCAGTGGTAGAGCACTTGCTTTGCTACATGGGGCCCTGGGTTCAATTCCTCAGCACCACATAAGCAAAAAGAAAAAAGCCAGAAGTGGCGCTGTGGCTCAAGTGGTAGAGCGCTAGCCTTGAGCTGAAGAGCTGAGTGACAGTGCCCAAGCTCAGAGTTCAGGCCCCACAACTGGACCCCCCCAAAAAATAAATAATTGTTAATCTACTCAATATTTAATATTAGCCTGGCCAATATTTCATCACCCTCGATTACACACTTATCCATAGATATTAATACCTCCAGTGTGATGCTCTAGAGTGACAGATGCATTCGTGGATATATTGGCATTCTTAAAATGTAAGACTCAGGCTTTGGGGGGATAGAATTGTAACAGACCACTCAGAATTCATGCAAATCTACAGCACAGCATGGCTCTGGTGAGAATAGTAACACAACAAGGCACACTGTATCTTGAAATAAAAAAAGAAGCTGGGCCCTAGTGGCTTATAACTATAATCTTAGCTGCTAGGGAAGCTGAGATCTAGGGGATTGAGGTTTGAAGCCAGCTGGTCAGAAAAGTCTAGAAGACTCTATCTCCAATTAATCAGCAAAAGACTGGCCTGGAGATATGGCTGCAGAGGTAGAGCAGCCACCTTGAGTGAAAATGCTAAGGATAGAACCCAGACCCTCAGTTCATACCCCCACACCAACAAAACCCTACAACCCAGTGAAGCTCTTGGCAGTGGATTCTCATACTGCACCGAAAGGCCAAAGGGCAATGGGTGAGAAAACTAAATTTCCTGCCATCAAAATTAATTACTCACTGTGAATAGATTCAATAGCTCAAATTCCCCGACAGGAAGAAAACCCAGAAGTACTGACTGGGGGAATTTGGGGAGTGGGGGGGGGACTAAGAGGAGAACCTGCCTCTTTCCTAGCCAGTGTCTCCCTCTGGGTGCCCTAAGATCTACCCAGGACTGCCCCGCCCCCATCAGTTCCAGGCTTGAGGCCACAAGCCCATCCCAGCCCACTGTCCTTCCATCATTATTCCCACCGAGAGTGGCCCTTCTGCCCCTCACCCTCTGCTTGAGGCCCCAAAGCTGGCAGGTTCTGGAAATGCAAGAACAGTGCTTTGAATCCACTCACTCAACAGCTCCACAGCCACAGCAAGCAAGCTGTCACTCCTTGAGCCTGTTTCCTCGCCTGGAGATCAGACGACAGTTTTCTTCCTTCCGTGATTTAAGAGCATGACAGACCAGGCTTTGCAGACATTTGCACGCCCCAGAATCACCCGAGGGCCTTGTTAAAATGCAGGTCTGATTCTGCAGCGCCGAGGCCCTGCCTTGCCAACTAGCTCCCAGGTGGCGTCATTTTTCACCTGTGAATTGCAAAGAGCGTTGCTCAGGTGTGTGGCATGTGTGGCGTGGTTTAACCCAGATAAGCATTACCTCTGGGTGAAGAGATTTTACTTCAGTCCAGCCAAAAAGGTGGCTCTTGGAGAGCAGGCAGTTTGGGCTTACCTGAGAGTTCTGCAGGAAACAAGAAAAAAAATCAAGTTTTGATTGCTCCCCCTCCCCCATACACACACCTGGTCGTCCCCAGTTGCCTCCGCCTGCCTGCTTCTGGATTCTGGAGGCTACAGAGCCTCTGGGCTCAGGCCTCAACTTGTCACTCTTGGAAGGAAAGCATCCTCAGAGCCGGGCACAGCTTTGTTCTGCCAACTACAGATCTCCCGAGGAATTTTCAAAGCACACTGGGTGCGTTTGGCAGGAGTCTCTGGGGCTATAAATACAACTGGGGGCGGGGTGGGGGGGGAATCTCTAAGGACTGCAGTGTCTTTTCCACTTGAGGCCTAAGTACAGAGCTTTTCCCTTTCACCACACCAAAATGGAGTCCCTCACGACTTGCTGCTGGAAACAGGCAGTGGGAACAGGAGGGGACGCAGAGGGAGGGTAAGGAGGGGTTCACCCCCTCAGATATATCCCCCAGAGGATTTCCCCTTTCCTTTTGCTCCTAAAAGCTGGCCTTGCTATACCGACTGCTGACTCATCCGGGGTTAGGGTCTTTTTTTTTTTTCCTTTCTTTCTTTCTCTCTCTGTCTCAGACTCGCCACAAAGCTGGGAGATTTTTGAGGTTGGTTTAATGAGCAGCGAGGTCCTTGTACAGATGCCTTTTCGTGTTATACTCCTCCCTGCCCCCACTCCATCCATTCTCCTGTGATTCAGTCCCGTCCGAAAAGAGAGATGGACACCCAGGTGTTGCGCCCCAGCTTCTAAAGCTGAATGCTTGTTCTCTGCAGGTCTCCCTGCACCGGCTGCTCTTGGAATCCAGCTGTGAGCCGATTCCTAGGATGTAAGCAAGACCAGAGCGGTGAGTGATGCCCTGGCTGGTGGCCTCGGTCACACCTGGCCTCCCTGGCTTGAAGGAGAGGCATGGGAGGGCATGGGGTGGCTCTGAAAGCAGTTCCATCTGAGCGAGCACACCTGGTCACAGAACAAGATACACATCCAGGTGTGAGGCCCTCGGAATCTGCTGGGTCCCTGCCAGGCCTCCTTACAAGCTTGAGAGGCCCCAGGTGGCCGCGCTGTGCCTTCTCTGCTGCTGTGGCCGCAGTGGACACTCCTTGTTCAGCAGCCATGTGCCTACAGTTGTGTGGGGAGGATTAGGGGAAGCCTAGAACAGAGTGGGAGCTCCCTGGCACCCACTGCAATCGCCCCAGGAGGCAGGGCTCAGGCAAGGCATCTCTGAACGACTCGCCCTAGTGTCGCTCTTGCTTCCGCCTAAGGTAAGACAAACTGTGCCCAGGTGGAGCATGCAGCTCAGGTTAATAGTGAGCTCCCTGGCCTTGGCAGAATTCAAGAAGGAGTAGGAGACACGGCCCTGGAAAATGATGGAGAACGGCTTTGCGGAGGGCAGTGTTTTACCCTCTTTTGTCTGGCAGTCTAGAACCCCGCGTGGGGTAAGTGTGAGGAGAAAGGGGAGGACGTAGGGACTCACTGGGCAGATTGGAGGCCGTATGTGTACACTCCCAGCGCGGACTTCTGGTGTCTGGGTCTGCTGAGGAAGCCATTGGATGAGACAACCTTGGGTCTCTCTGGTCCCCTAGTGCCATCCTGTCCGCTGTCTGTGAGCTGACTCCAGACGGCATGTCTGTTTGCAGGTATGACACCAAATACCTGGGGTGGGCAACCTGAAAAGCAGGATGGTAGTTTTGCTGGCAGGCTTCCTCGTACAAGCAAGGCCACAGAAAGAGCTATCCACTGGTCACACCAGCCAGGGACTTGGCCTGAGGATCTGGATCACACACACCTGGGGACACACATGACAAAGCCACCCACTGTCCACTCCCCAGCATGGCAGAGGAGGCAGAAGTAGGTGAGGCCTGAGCAGGTGGCTGTGAGAGGATTATAAGCTTGGCTTCACCCAGCAGCTTGGGACCCTTTGGCAGGGGTCAGTACAATCCCACAGGTTCAAGTGACCAAAATCCAGACTGCTGGACCCAAGAACGCCAGGTCCAAATTGGGAACAGGAAGCAGGGTTCAGGGGAGAGTCTGAATAATGGGATGCTTTGTGTCTGGGCCTCTCACCCCATCTCGGTCAGCTGCAGCTGCATTTCCCCAGGGCCTCTGAGGGCTGGGCGCTGTGGGAAGCCACAGCTGGGCCCGGTGTATTGGAGTAACTGACAGCCCAGAAGAAGCTTGGGTTTGACAGTGTTGTTTACAAGCTGTATGTTGGTGTGAGTCCAATGCGATCAGAGGGCATGGAGGGGAAAGGAAAGTGGGGGCCGGGGGGAGGAAGAGGAGGAAGGTTGAATTTGAGTTGTGATTCGGCAGGGTCCTTAGCAAGCTTCAAGCAAGACAGAACAGTGGGTCCTTGCGTTCCCAGACCCTCACATGTAGGAGGTGCTCAGTAAATAAATGAGCGCTGAGTTAAGGAGTGGGAGAGGTGTTCAGGGAAGTGGTATCTGTGTTGAAGGACAAAGGCCCTGGAGTAGATTACCCGGCTCTTCTACTAGCTGCGGGCCCCCTGGCAAGTTGCCAGCTTCTCTGTGCTTTGGTCTCCTCATCTGTAAAATGGGGACAGTGTGGCCCTGAGGATTTGATGAATCCATTCACACACAGCTGTTTGTGCCTGGGTGTAGTATGTGCCTCCCCCGCACCGTCTCTCAGCCCGTGCTCTTAGATGTGGGCTAGGGCCCAATGTTGGACCAGAGGCAAAGCGGCGTCTTCAGTCTGAAGTCCTGATGTAGTCACAAGGGTGCTCTGAGCCGTTTCTCTACCATGGAGATGCGGTGGAAAGGTGGACGGAGGCTCTCTCACATGGCCCCTCCTGGTTCTGCCTCTGATCCAAAGTCAGAGGCAGCTCTGCCATCCGTGGCTAGAATGGTGTGAATCCCATCCTTTCCTTCCCTCACAGAAGGGGCCTTGAAAACCGCAAATCATAGGCACCAGAGAGATGTCATTGATACTGATGGGAAGTCGTTTAGGACTTGAGCCTGGATGCATCATCTCAAGCCCCCACCCCCAAGACCTCAAGGATGGACCTTGGGGTCTGTCCCCAAGGGTAAAAGACAGCTTGTCACTAGATTCCCAGAACAATGCTTCATTTAACAAAAGGCAGCGCCCACCACCCCAGGATTTGTAGTCTATTTCAGATAAAAACTGCCTTAGCCTGAAATGCATGTTCAAGGTTCTATTTCTTACATTAATAATAGGCCGGGGGCTATAGAATGGGCCTGCTTGGGGGTTCCTGTACCTCATCCTAACTCTATCCCTAGCTGGAGTGTAAGATGGGAAGATGAGCCAAATTGTTTCTGACACAAACAGAGCCTGTGCCACAAGGGTCTAAAAATATCACCAGTCTCTTTTCCCATGCACCAGCAGATAAGGGAAAGGGGAGCAGGGATGAGGAATCCAGGAGCACTCTACTGAGAAGGGTCCTGAGACAGATCTACTACACAGTATGCTACAATGGATTGGTGATGTCTGCCAAGAGCTCAAAAGGATGACTTTAGTATGCGTGCCACTTTCCATTATCCTGAGACAAAGTAATTCCCAAGGCTGCCTTCCAGCTCCGCTCTTTGTGGCTTGCTATCAGCCTGGTTTTACACCAGAGAGGCAAAGCCTAGCCCAGCCTCACTAATCTGGACCACTATAGATGCAGCCCAAGTAAAGTTAAGGCATCTCCTTAAGGCTTGCTGCATGCAAATGAGCTTTACACCTTTCACCCCAGGTACCCCACAGAGCCCAGCCAGCAAACTCAGCACAGACCTGGGGACCAGGACCTGTGCTTATGCAGGACTGACCCTCTAGCTAAACCCATGAGACTTTTCTCTCTAGGCCATTCTATGTACTTAGGACTGGAATTTTACTGAAACTCTAACAAAAGCAAGGCATTTAAGGAAGTCAAGAATCATTGCATGGTCAGTTTGGCTTCTGTTTGAAACAGCCAGGGGAAATGGATGAGAGGGGCAGGGCTGGATTTGCTGGGAATGAGCTGTTTTTTCCAGAGTTCCTACTCCTTGATGAGATAAGAGAGTGTAGAACAGAGCTAGAATCCGTCCCTGCCCACCACCCCGCTCCTGTCCCCCTGACACACACACCCAAACTTCCCAATCTGTAAAACAGGGAAATAATAGCACACCGCTCACAAAAGTTGCTTTCCAGGTATGCGCTCTGCACCACCTCCATCCATGCTCATGCCCAAGAGGGGCTTGCTTAAATCTTTTAGTGGTAACATACCCTGACATGACTCCGGCTAACTCAGGGCCTCTTCCTTCTCCTCCCTGATTTCTCTTCCATAGGAAATAATCCACTTAAATACTCCATTTGAGCTGCTCTGATCAAGTCCTCTGGGTGGGGGATAACCAGGGTCTTCCACATGCACGTGCATGAATGGACAAGTCTGTGGTGTGCCAACAGGCGCATGCGTGAATGAACTTGTCTGCAGTGTGCTGAGTCCCTCAGCAGGGTTCTCTGGCAACGGCCTGTGCCAATGGCAACTAGAGCACAGCCACCTCTTTCAACACCCAAATTCCACCCCTGCTGGAGGGAGAGGCGGGATTCACACCAGAATTTAGGTGTGAGCAAACCCGAAGGATGGGCTTTCCTTGTTTATAATGGGTGTGAAGTTTCAAGTAGAACTCTCCTGTCTGTCTCTGAGAACCATCAAGAGAAAGATTAAGCTTCTAGGAGTCGCAGTGCTGGGGATTGAAACCAAGGCCCTGCGCATGCCAAGCAACTGCTCTATCACTGAGCCACATGCCCAGCCCTAAGGTTAGCTCACAGTTTTAGAGGCTGAAAGTCAAAGGTCAAGTGGCCTCATCAATTTGGCCTTCGGTGAGAGCCTCCTAACAGATCGCATGACCATGGTGGGGAACACATGTGGACAACCTAGTAAGACAGGAAGCCAGAGGGATGAAGGAGAGGGACTTGGGGCTTGCATTCACCACATGAGAACAAATGAGGTCCTGAAAGAACTCCATTACCCTCTTCTAAGGATGAGACTCCCAGCAACCTAACCACCTACCACTAGACTCCACCTCTTAAAGGTCCCACCACCTGGGAATCAAGCACCCAACTCTGATGGTTACACTCAACCCCTGTGGCACTACAGCAGGTTGTACATGGCCTCTATCTGGCCCTTCACAGGAGATGGATGCTGGCATCACATAGAACCTGGGTAATGGAGTCACCCAAGCCTGGCTTCAGATGCTGGGATAGATGGTCAGGGCTCCCCTCTGTGCCTGTAGCAGTGGAGGACCCCTGGAGTAATAGAGATGGTATCTGGACTTGATTGACCCTCAGACATGAGGACAGACACAGTGGGCCCTCTTAGGTACACAGAGGCTCAAGCTTGAGGGAGCAGATCATTCACCTGACTCACCATGGTTCCACAGTGAGATGATTGGCAGAGCCAGGATTTGAACCAGGAGCACTCTGGCCCTACACTTTTTTTTTATTTGCTTCCCTATTGTTACCATTATTTCTCCCTTAAGACAAGAGAAAGGTTTGTCTCTCCCCATTTACTTCCCTGTCCCCCCTCTCCCCGGTTTGCTGGCAAAATTCCTTTCTACCACCCAACAGCAATGAAAACATAGAAGAGCTGTCACAGCCAGGTGCTGGTGGCTCACACCTGTAATCCTAGCTACTCAGGAGGCTGAGATCTGAAGGTTGCTGTTCAGAGCCAGCCCAGGCAGGAAAGTCCATGAGACTCTCATCTCCAGTTAACCATCAGAAAGCTAGAAGTAGCATTGTGGCTCACAATGGTAGAGTGCTAGCCTTAAGCAGAAAGAGCTCAGGGACAGCACCCAAGCCCCAAGTTCAAGCCCCACAACTGACAAAAAAACGGGGCGCTGTCACAAACACCCT